TCCCTGTTATAGCGCTCGCTGGCTTTGTGGATTACCGTTCAACACCCCCCGACAATCCGTACAATACGTTTTATCAATTATTTGTTTGTTGTTTGTTGGTTGTTTAACGCCGCACTCAGCAATATTCCAGCTTTCTGACGGCGGTCTGTAAATGATCAAGTCTGGACCAGACAATCCAGTGATAGATATCATAAGCATCGACGTAGCGACGTAAATGCACGCGTGTGTGTGTGTGTGTGTGTGTGTGTGTGTGTGTGTGTGTGTGTGTGTGTGTGTGTGTGTGTGTGTGTGTGTGTGTGTGTGTGTGTGTGTGTGTGTGTGTGTGTGTGTGTGTGTGTGTGTGTGTGTGTGTGTGGCTGCTTGTGCTATTCCGGACTGATGCAAATTTATAGTGCTAGCCCACTGAGATACCATGCCGCAATTTAACATGAAAGCCCCACTCAGACACAGTCTACTGACTCCGAGCTGACCAGTCCTTATTTGAGCCCCGTAATGCTTAACACCAGACAAGGTTACAACAAATACCATTTTATAACGTCTTTTCGAATGAGGCGGTCGGGGATCGAACCCCTCAAATCGATTAAATAAGTCTCTGATATTAACGGCTTTTTAAGGAAGCTGCTCAACCACATACATGTATAACAATCGGCTTCCATGCTATTTTAGTGACAACTTGTTCCTGGTGAAAAGGACGAAACCTTATGATTTAATTCTGTGCTCACTTATGAACTCTTCCCTAATATAATTACAATAACAAAACAAATTATTTTGAACACACGAAACCTAAATAATTAGAACAGAAGTAACGCATACCCACACGAGTTACAATCCTAAATATATTAATTATATTTAATGTATGGAGTCAGACAGTCCAAAACACCGCAAGCACACATAACTTGGCACCTAACTCGGAACTCCCACCGGGGGCAGAAGGACAGTTAACTGTTTTCTATGGCAATTACGGTATACAGTATTACATGCTACATTTATTTTTGCAGTTTCATATTTGTAAATACGTCCTCAATGTGTATGGGGCAAATTGTTAGGTCAATATGCTAATCGTTTTGGTTGACATTAATAACTGGTGACAACATAACTACATGAGCTGTAGAACCGCGATACTAATTTAGTCAACAATTTGTATCCGTGTGTTTGTACTTTCCGTTTTACAAAGACGTGGTAGTTTTCTTGTTTTATGTGTTTGATGTCTCTGTGTTGGGTGAAATCTTCTACTGCATGCAATGCACCTACAACACCTTAATCAACCACTTTTTCCGTTTGGACCCATTTGATAAAATCTTTATATGCCTTTCCTATTCAAGATATCTTGTAGTCAGTTCTTATAACTCCTCCTCCGTGGTCTAGTGGTAGAGCGTCCGGGGTTCGATCCACGGCCGCGTCATACCAAAAGACGTTAAAAGATGGTACTTGTTGCTACCCTGTCTGGCGGTCGGCATTAAGGGGCAAAAACAAGGACTGGTCAAGTCGGAGTCAGTATACTGTGTCTGAGTGGGGTATTTATGTAAAACTGCGGCATGGTATCTCAGTGTGCTAGCACTATAAATCGGCTTCAGTCCGAACTAGTACAAGCAGCCACACAAACACACACACGTACATGCAAGTCGCTATATAATAGCAATAATCTTGGACGCGACGCTGAACCCTATTTCACCCCACCCCACATCTTATAACAGACTCAGTTTTGGCGCTGTTTAAATCATAACCGTCTGTTCCAGAAGTGCATATAAACCTTTTCATTATGGTAGCTGCAGACAAGAGATTCAGTTAACAAGCCATACTTCGTTAGACATGTTTTACATACCAACCGAAACTTGTGTAGCTTGACGCACGTGACTTGACACGCCGTCTTCCCAAACAGGAGTTATGTAACAAGTTTACAAATGGGGTAAATGAAGTTTAAAGTTGTTCTGAATTATTCATATGCTTTCACAATCCATGAACGATACAGGAAGTAATTTCTAGACGGGTATTGCATATTGCGGAAGGATTTCAGGTTTTATGTCGTGTTTTTTTTCTCAAAGTTGTATCATCTAATCTGAAATGCATTTAGGTTGCTCATTATGCTGGCTGTAGGCATGGAGATTCAATCTGGCGTGAGGTTGTAGCAGGCTTGTGTTTTACCAAACCGTAGGTGATCACACTGGAAGTGCATGGTGGTACGGCTGGTTCTGCTTCTGATTAAGAACTTGCAAGTACTTTTTAACTTGTTGAAACAGCTTATTAAAAAAGACCAATCAATGTTTGAAATTGCCTACCCGTCAGCTTTGGAAAAGTAACGCTATTTCTTTCGTGAACAAAAACATGGTGTAATTCAGGTCCGATTATACCACTTGCGGACCGGGGCGGTCTGGTAGCCTAGTGGTTAAAGCGTTCGCTCGTCACGCCGAAGACCCGGGTTCGATTCCCGACAGGGGTACAATGTGTGAAGCCCATTTCTGGTGTCCCCCGCCGTGGTATTGCTGGAATATTGCTAAAAGCGGCGTAAAAAATACTCACTCACTCACTCACTCACTTGCGGACCAATCAGAATGCGGGATTCTGGATCAGTGGACATAAAAATATAACACGTCCTTGTTATCTAGGATATGTTGCACCGTTTGTCACTACTAACACTACAAAAACACTTGTTAGTTTGTTGTTTAACGCCACACTCAACAATATTCCAGCTATATGACGGCGGTCTGTAAATAAACGAGTCTGGACCAGACAATCCAGTGATTTTTATCACGAGCATCGATCCATACAATTGGGATACGATGACAAGCATCAAACAAGTCAGCGAGCTTGACCACCCGACCCCGTAAGTCGCCTCTTACGAAAAGAATAGTTGCCAGTTACGGCAAGTATGGGTTGCTGAAGACCCATATTCTAACCCGGCTCTTCACGGGTCACTAGTATTGATTTGCTTACCCGCTCATTCTGGAGCTGTTTCATCTTCCTCGGTTGAAAACGCCCTACTCTCCATTTCTAGCTATGGATCAGTTGACCTGGGAAGTATGCCACGAGTTTCACTTATTAATATTTCAATCTTTATTCAGCTGAAAGCCACACGCTGATATAAATAGCCCGCAAGGTGGCAGTGTTTCAGTTTCGAACAGTGACTGGCGATCTAAACACAACCGAATGTCGAGAGGAGCTCGATCACCATTGACCGTCAAACTTCGTATCAACTTGAATGGCAAACCTTGGGTACCACAACTGGCTCCATAATCAGACATAAGTCGATACAGTTTCCGTAGTTTGATCACAAAAAATCGAATCTGTTGTTTTTGAGTGTCTGCCTTAATTACAGTTGGCGGAGCTTATTCAAGGCTGTGATATTAAGTAGCACAGCACATGTGGACTATGTGATGGATTCGTGGTCAAATTACAACGTACTGTAGGTTTACGGATGAACAGCAGTATAACAACACTCTCAGAAAACATAACAGCAAGGATACAAAAATACGAAATTGACGTTAGTAACATTAGTATTAGCGATTAGATTTTTTAAAAATCTACAACATATTAGTTTTTTTGTGTGTAGGTTTTGGTCACTTGCATTGAATATTATTGAATATTGATAATCAGATTCAAGTAACAGACATTCTTTTTTTAAATCGTGTTTACAAATAAAGATTGTGCACACATGCCTAAAATGGGAGTTTGTTCCGAGGCATTCGTCAGTTCATGTTATGGTCGTTATTGTGAGATTGTTAGTGTTTTGGACGACGAGTCTTGTGATGACGCCGTCAACAAGGCTGTGTGTGTCACGTTGTTGAAAACAATTGACCAGGAAGAAGATTATCGCGGCATTGATATTAGGACAGACGCTCGTCATGGATGGAGGAAATATGAGAGCGACATTGTTGCTTTGAGTTGTGAAACCAAAATATGTGCTCATGCGGAGAGAGATTACATGCATGACATTCGTAGGTTTTTGGACTATCTTGAAAATAATGTTTGAATCCATGTTCACGCACAGATAGAAATAATGCTGTGAACAATTGTTTGTCTGACATCGTCTCGAAGTATGTAATGCAAATCATACTTTGCATGCCTCATAAGGCATCAAACAGGGAATTAAAATCTGTGTCACGGGACCCGCGAAGTTTAGTTTCACGGCGTGACCAGGCACTCGAATGTGTGTGTGTTTGCGTGTGTGCGTGTGCGTGTGCGTGTGCGTGCGTGCGTGCGTGCGTGCGTGCGTGCGTGCGTGCATGCGTGTGCGTGCGTGCGTGTGCGTGTGTGTGTGTGTGTGTGTGTGTGTGTGAAAACATAGAATCACAGAGCACACACCTTGCATTCTAATCAAACACCCTGTGTCATCATATTATCGACATAAGTTGAGAATCAATGGCACAAAATTGCCTTTTGAAAATGGTTCAGTCTGTCTGCCGGGGTCATTAGAAAAACAATGCAGACGCTTGTTTTATAAAACATTACTCGTCAGTAAATTGAGAAAATGTAATGAAATACGAGGTCATTAACCTACACATGACATGTCCGAGACTAGAGGTTACTGAGATAATTATTCTTTTAACATTTCAAAGATTCTCAGTGTATAAAATATTTCAATTATTCAATTCTAATCCCTAAAAAATCTAAAGGTTTTCAATTGCGTGGATCGAAGCTCATGGTGTCAATCACTGGATTGTCTGGTCCAGACTCGATTATTTACAGACCGCCGCCATATAGCTGGGATATTGCTGAATGCCGCGTTCAACAACAAACGAACAAACAAAGCTTTTCAAGTGGATGATCCATGACACGCCTTAATATAGTAACATTAACGTATTCAGTTTTTTCTGTATAGAAAACAATATAATGCAATGATAATAGCAGTCATACCGAAGTCAGATTTCGAAAACTGTGGAAGCATCCGGCTATAATTTCCGCAATTAGAAGTAACACGAGCTGTGAAACTTACTTCTGAATATTTAACTAATAACTACAAAACGAAACCTCCGCGAAACACAATGTAGTGTAACGATTTCACTTTGTCGTCCATTGCCTCTACGTTAGATCAGCTACATACGAACTTGCTACAAATAGTCTATATTACTCTGACATAACCAACAATGTCGGCTGAATTCAGACCAACTTCTCATCTGGAATCCGCTGATGAAATCCTCCTTTCTCATGACGAAGGACAAGGGATCCTGGAAGAAAACAAGCCAAGCGAGTACAAATCCATTGATGAAACTTCTGCTGGCATTGACGCTAGAACCGACCACAGCAACCCTGTATCTGTTGAATATTACAACATTGACGACGTCAACCCAGCGTCTGGTTATCAGGCTATTGAAGGAAGCCAATCAGAAGCTAATAACCATGAACACATTGCTGTAACCAACCCTGCGTATGATTACAGTGAAGTAATAACCGAGCCACGTACGGTAAGCGTTGAAATATTGTTTTTAATGCAAAGGTTTCAAAGTTTATGTGAAGTTTGGCTGTGTGATGTTTTCAGTTCACTTTGGAGATAAATGTTATTTTCAGATTTGCGGGTTTTATTGAGTAACCAATGTAAATATAACCAAATAAACAACACAAAAGAAGAAATTAGCATTGTTTGTAATTTCATAATCGAAAGACATCATAGACATGAAACAAAATCCAAGAAACAGCGTGTAACAAAGTCATTATGACATCACTGACATTGAACAGAGAGTAACAATATTCCTTCGTTAATTTCAGCTTACGTCTAAGTGTAAGAAGACCATTCTGTTTCTCGTTCCCATATTTGCCAGTGTGATAGTGAACATCACAGTTGGGTGCTTAATGTTTCTTCCCCTGCCCCACTTCAGAGGAGATTCCAGTGGAGTCAGATGGACGGTCCCAGAAGTTCTAATCACAGTTTGTGTGTTTCATGGACTGGCAGGTAATTGATTTTAAGATAACTGAGTGATTATTGTTTACGTGGCTCTGTGCATTTGTTCAGCAATAGCATAGCCGGGAACATCAGAATTGGGTTTCAAACATTATACCCGGATCTCGCAACCGAGCCTTCGCATTGACGAGCGACCGTTTGAACCATACCATCTAAGATATATTTACCTTGGTCACCAACGTCATATCGGTTGTTTTGATTTTGCGCGAGTGTATTTATTCATGACTTACATACGTATGATGTCCAGATAGAAACAGCATATTGTCACATTTTGCATTTAGTCACAAATAGTGTAACTTTATGTTGCACATCTGTGGTGTGTTTCAGCTGCTTCGTGTGCGCCGCTTATGATCAGATACGGCTTCCGGAAGATCGCCCTGGGCGGAAGTGTTCTTCACATTTGCTCATCTGGCTTTTCGTCATTAACAACCACATCTGATATCTTGGCTATCATATTTGTCATCATGAGAGGTCTGTCAAAATCTTTAAAATATTTTCAAAGTGAATCTTGTAGAGGTTATTTTTTGTTTCATAAGACATAGGCAACTAAACATACAAGCGATCTTTCATACGAGTACTATTTGCTGAAGACGCATTTTTGTACATATTTGAGTAGTGTTTTTAAGGGCAGATACATCCAAACGCTTATACGATGCGAGTATTTTCAAATGCAGTTCGGTGGCCCACTTACTCACTCAAATTCAATTATTTTTCAAAAACAGTAAGTGTAAAATAAGGTATGGAATCTTTTATTGAAAGCAACTTCTATTATCTGCTAATCACTCTTTTTGTTGACAAACCTATAAGTTTTAGATAAAGATTATATTCAAATATTTTATGCGGTCGACTACAAAACGAGTACTAACGTTATCAATAATTTATCTTGCAACATTTAACCTCGATAAAGGTCTTACACATTTTTTGTCAGGTATTGCTGTTGGTCTTCTTCGGACGATTGGTGTTGTAGCTATCTCGGACCACCTCTACACTCGCCCAGCTCTCGCTCTTGTTATCAGCCACACCAGCTTCACCGTCGGGAACATTATTGGTATCACTGCCACCTTGATCGGCTTTAGTGATATATGGGCCTTTGAGATAAGTGCTGTTATAGGACTTATCGCTGGTAGATTTCTGCAGAAGAACTCACAGACCCAGCAGAATGCGTCCAAGCTGTTCAAACATCCACCGTTTTATTTCCTCCTCTTTATAAGACTTGCTGCGTCTGCGGGTAGGTTTTCAAATGCATTGCTAACCTTGAATCACAGTGAACGGGGAACCCAGTGCTCTGGGGCGCTCCAAAGCGATGTTCACAGCTCTATCCTAATCTGCCACTACCCGCGCCTGATCGGTTCTAAAACCAGAATTTCTCCAAACTAGGGACATTGAACTTTCGCTTTGCAGAGTAGTGTCCCTTAGGTGCACTGTAAATCTGCCCTCGTGGGTTCATAATGTTTCTAGGTTTGTCAGCACTGTCCAATAATCGTAGGTTTCCACCAGGAGAAAATAACCTAACACCTGCATTACTTTCCGTGTCAGCTTTCCTCTCACATCAAGCTGACACACCGTGGTATACCTGGAATACAAAGCGGTGTTAAACCAAACTCACTTACTCACACTCAAGTTTTGTGATAACTCCCTTATGCATTCCTGTGTTTTGTCTGAAGGTAACTGAAGTGAGTGAGTGAGAGAGTGAGTATGTTTTTATGCCGCTTTTAGCAATATTCCTTCAATATCACTGTGGGGGACACCAGAAATGGGCCTCACACATTGTTTCCATATGGGGAATCAAACCCGGGTCTTCGGCGTTACGAGCAAATGCTTTAACCAGTAAGCTACTCCACCGCCCAATGTAGCTGAAGACTTACTGACTTTGTATTCATGTTGCAGCTCTATCACAAATAATGCTGCCATTAGCGTTGGTCAACACTACGGGAAGAAGCAACTTGAAACTGGCCCTCCCAGTGCTGGGCTGCTTTGAGGTGATGGGAGTACTTATAGGAATTCTAGGACTTATCAGTAGCCTCCCCCGCCTGCGTAGGTAGTGTTCTGTGTTACCTTCAATTTCATTCACCTAAACACTGTTCCACTGTCATCAAACATTACTTAATGTTTAAACAGACGCTTTTGCAGGTTAATGCTTCTGAAATATAGGTCAATATTTATTTTCAAATCCACCACTTTCAATGACACAAAACATAATATTTTATTTTACTAAGAAATAAATGTTCACACGTGAAGATGAAGACATAGGTCATTCCCATATTTTATGAACTAACTCGACGCAAAAAGGTTATTTAATTAAAGGGACAAAAGCCACATAATTTCTTGTGTCAATTGACAATGTGTATAATACTATGTTCCGAATATCGCGACAATTATTTCATGATAATTTACAAATATGCATGTAGATTCCATGTACAAAGTTAATAGATTCACACGAAGGTCATATCAGTACTATCGACTAGAAATGATCACCTTTCTATGAATCCAGTGGATATACGTTGTAACCACGGAGGATAATAGTGTCGCGACTGTCTCAGAAAAGTGTTTAACACAAACACCACAAACATGGTCACTGTTAGTAAAGCTTTCTATATTTAACATTTCAGGACATGGTGCCTTGTATTTTTGGGGAGTGTTCCTCATCATGGCCGGAGTTTTTGCCATCATTGCATGGGTGCTGATAAAACGCTGGACCCCTCTTTGTGATGAGTCGGAGGAAGAGGACCATGTGGAGGACCATGTTGAGGAGACAGGGGATCATGTTGGGGAGGCAGAGGACCATGTTGGGGAGACAGAGGACCATGTTGAGGAGACACAGGACCATGTTGGGGAGGCAGAGGACCATGTTGGGGAGACAGAGGACCATGTTGGGGAGGCAGAGGACCTTGTTGAGGAGACAGAGGACCATGTTGGGGAGACACAGGACCATGTTGGGGAGGCAGAGGACCATGTTGAGGAGACACAGGACCAAGTTGGGGAGGCAGAGGACCATGTTGGGGAGACACAGGACCATGTTGGGGAGGCAGAGGACCATGTAGAGGAGACACAGGACCATGTTGAGGAGACACAGGACCATGTTGGGGAGGCAGAGGACCATGTTGAGGAGACACAGGACCATGTTGGGGAGGCAGAGGACCATGTTGGGGAGACAGAGGACCTTGTTGGGGAGGCAGAGGACCATGTAGAGGAGACACAGGACCATGTTGAGGAGACAAAGGACCATGTTGAGGAGACAAAGGACCATGTCAGGGAGACAGAGGACCATGTTGAGGAGACAGAGGACCATGTTGAGGAGACAGAGGACCGTGTTTGGGAGACAGAGGACCAGGTTGAGGAGGCAGAGGACCATGTTGGGGAGACAGAGGACCATGTTGAGGAGGCAGAGGAACATGTTGGGGAGGCAGAGGACCATGTTGAGGAGGCAGAGGACCATGTTGAGGAGACACAGGACATGGTAGAGGAAGCAGAGGACACCGGTGAGATGGAGACAGAGGACCCTGGCAATTGATGAAGACAGCATGAAAACTGTCAATATAGGCTCTGTATGTGGACAAATCGTAGCCCATGATGAAAACAGTACCTGTAGTTACATTTTCGTGTTAGTAGGTATCATAGGTATAGTTTTCAGCGAGAAATGATGAAGTGAGAGCCAGCTCATTGTTCGTCCTACCACTATAACCGCTAGATGGCGCCTTTGCAAAATACTTATTGTCACATAAAAGTAGATTCTGTTGTGCGTTCATAGATCTTAAGTCAGCGTTTGATTCAGTGTGTAGGACAAGTTTATTTTACAAACTCTGGATAGGTAATGTTAATGGTAAAATATTTAGAATACTTAAAAATATATATGAAAATGTTAGATCTTGTAGATTTGTTAATGGTGGCTATACAGATTTCTTCCATTGCCAGTAAGGTGTACGACAGGGATGTGAGTTATCTCCCTTTCTGTTTTCATTCTTTGTAAATAATATTGTTGATTTTCCTAATTCAGACGGGCAACGTAATATCCAATTAGGAATGATTTAACTTTTTATTCTAATGATTGCAGATGATATGGTCTTATTTGATAGTACAGTCGTGGGGTTGCAAAGACACCTCTGCAAAATGAAGATTTATTGTCATAAATGGAAATTGTCTATTAATTTATGCAAAAGTAAAGTTAGTGTCTTCAGACGTCGTGGTCGCCTTCGAAGATATGAAAAGTTTTCGTTTGGCACCGACAGTATTAAATTGTTCCTACTTCATCATCTGGTAGTTGGTACTTTACACAGAAGACACAAGCACTGTCATCTCCTCGTTTTAAAATCAGGCTGAAAGGATTTTATGAAACTTCCTTATGATGTACTTTTACAGATATTTGATGGCAAATTACTACCTGTTCTTCACTACTGCTCAGAGATATGGGGCTTTCGCCCGTCCCAAGATGTTATTTATGTACATGATAGATTCTGTAAGAATATTTTATCCCATTATATGGGACACTTGTCCCCAATATAGTTACTTGTGGTGGCTTGGACGTTATTCACTTAAAGTCAATCAACATGTTCGTATTGTCAAATATTAGCTGCCACTTGTATCTAAAACAACTGAAATGATCCTTAATCATGCTTATTCATATCAATACATTCTGATTGAAAAAAGAATAAGTTTTTGGGCATTAAAAGCAAAACATTGTGCTTTTGGCCATGTTTGGGATAGTTAAAGAGTAAATCATATTGGTTTCATTAATAACTTTTAAATAAGATGTATTGATATAGATAGCCAACAGAGGTCTAGCAGTTTAAGAACTTACTCAAAACTTTCTTTTTATTCTTGTATTAAGCAATATAATGTATTTGAAAATAAGATTGTATTCCAGTAAGTGCCTATCGTATTGATTTGAGTAAATTTAGATGTTCTGGTCAAACTTTGCTTATTGAAGATGGAAGGAAGTACAATATACCTAGAGCTAAGAGACTATGTCCATTTTGTGTAAGACCTATAGTGGAATCTGAAT